TGCACTTGCGAGTATCACAAGTTGAGGATGCAACTGAATCCATTTTGGTGCAGTTGTATCTACACAACAGTCATGCCTTGAAGGGACCAGACTAGTGTACACAATTTTCACCGTGACCTTGTAAAATTCACAAATATCTCGCATATTCTGACTGTTTACCAAAAGAGAATAATGATTTTGTTGTTCCAGCATCTCACGAATGCATGTCTTTTGATAATGACTTGGCTTTGCATAACCCATGTCATTTCGCTTAAGCACGCTGCTTGCTGATGGGACCCCATCCGAGTAGCTTTGCTTGGCATGCTTTACTGCTAAGTAGAGTGTGTATTTATTTATTTATTTATTTATTCTTTTACATATACGTATATATATATATATATTATGTTTGGTGCAAAGTAAATTTGGGATACATAAAGGAAAAGTAACATTTCCGAGACAGATTTCCTTTTTCAAAATACTCCTTCATTTTCATTGCAAAGCTCATGCTACCATAGTGGTCCATCATACAAGAGTTTTCCAAAATACCAAATGAGAACATAGAAGGAGTTCATATTTAAAACAAAAGGAAATACAATAATAAAAAAGTGCTGGGCATGAAACGAACTTAGCAGTAGTAGGGCTTGAGCCACTTCCCATTGATGGGATCCGTTAGCATGCCTTCCTTGACAGAGACCAAGCGATAATAGCCGCTGCTGTAAACTTCTTTGACTGTAAATGGTCCTTCCCATTGCGGGGCGAACTTAGCGATAATAGTCGCTGCTGTAATCTTCTTCGACTGCAAATGGTCCTTCCCATTACGGGGCAAACTTGGAAGGTTCCGATACTTGTCTCCTCACATGCTCGATGACTTTTAGCACGAGGTCTCCTTGCTTGAAGGCTTGTGACCTGACTGCCCTGTTGTAAGCTTGGGCAACGGTTTTGTGGTAAAGTGTTGTTCTTCTTTCGGCTTCCATTCTTTTCTCATCCAAAGCCTCTATGTCTAACAAGCGCCACTTTGAGCATGTCTTTGCATCCCATTCAAGGTCATTGATAGCCGATACTCTAGCAGTGGGGATAGTGATTTCAACGGGCGATATGGCATCGGAACCATACACAAGCGAATAGGGCGAGAAACCCGTGGCGCTCCTTGGGGAGGTGCGGTAAACCCATAAGGCATCCGGCAGGTGGACACTCCAGCCTCCTTCATACTCGTACACCATTTTGCTTAGGATTCTCAATAAAGTTTTATTCGTGGCCTCCGCTTGGCCATTTCCTTGCGGGTAATATGGCGTGGAACGACGATGCTTGATACCATAGCCGCTAAGAGTCGAGCTTACTTTCTTGTTAACGAATGGGGTACCATTGTTGGTGACGATCTTTTATGGGATTCCGAATCTGCAGACGATGTACTCACAGATAAAATTTGCAATGGTAGCCCCCGTGGCCTTTCGAAGGGGAATCGCCTCAACCCATTTTGTGAAATACTCAGTGGCTGTGAGGATCCATATATAGCCATCGGAAGGTGGGTGGATAGTTCCGATCAAGTCAAGCCCCCAAGTGTGAAAAGGCCAAGGAGTACCCATGTCCTGCAATAACGTGGGAGGGTTGTGACTTAAATTGGCATGAACTTGGCACGTATGACACTTCTTCACAAAATTGTATGCATCATTCTTCATGGTAGGCCAGTAATACCCAACATTTAGCAGTTGCCGATGGAGCCTCTTCATCCCTTGGTGTTCACCACAGTCTCCAGCATGAATTTCTTGCATCACTTGCTGCGCTTCTGATTCTCCTAAGCATTTCAAGGGTTCACCATTAAACCCTTTGCGATAGAGAGTGGAACCGTCTATGAAGTATCTCTTTAGCGTCTTTTTGAGCTTGTGGGCATGCTTGGTGTTGCTTGGTAAAATTCCTTCAATAAAGAACGCTAAGTATGGCGCCCTCCAATCTTCCGCAAATGAAATGGTGAATGATTCTTCGGTGGAGGGTATTGTTGCACACTTGGGACAATTGGTTTGAACCCCAGCTGCTTGTTTCTTCATTTCTGGCCAATAATAACCCTTGCATTGCAGGCACCGATATAGGCTGATTATTGGCTCCAAATTGCAAGTGGCTTCATGTACCTCTTGGAGTCTTCTCCGTGCTTCTGTCAATCCTATGCAGCGAGTCAAAATACCTCCTGGCAGGCGTCTGTAAAGTTCTCTGAAGATAACCACATAGTCCTTCAAGTCCTTGATGTTGCTTCCCTCGCTCAACCCTTCCTTCATGGATTTTCTCCAATCTTTTTCCTCCAGCAGCTCCTCTTGAGCCATTGCTTCAACTGCTGGAACATCCCTTTTTACTACGGTGATGTTGGGTTGCTCTTGGACGAATGAGAGCTTTGACCCCAACGTAGCCAAGGCATCAGCATATCTATTAGTGGCTCCTGGAATATGTTCCAGTACCACTTGCTTGAAAGAATTGACAAGCTTTTCAGCAGCTGTGCGATATGGCGCTAATGTTGACTCTTTCACAGCAAAGCTTCCTTGTAACTGACTTAGCACCAAATTGGAGTCGCCAATGATTTTAATCCTTTCTATGCCCATTTCCTTTGCTGTAGACACTCCCATAATGAATGCCTCATACTCCGCCACATTATTCGTGCATGGGAAATTTAGTTTGAATGAGAGGGCCGTGGCTTGCCCCCCGGGGTTGATGAGTACCACACCTGCTCCTCCACCATTTGACGTAGAAGAACCATCAAAGTAGAGGGTCCATGGTTCTTCCTCTGTAACAATAGCCACTATTTCCGGCAGCTCTCCCAGAACCTCCTCCGAAAGAATCGATCCTTCTTCTTCAGGAAATAGAGCAACAGACTTCACTATGAGTTGTAGCTTATGAGCGAGAAAGTAATGACGCAAGCGTTGCGCAGCATAGACAAGGGCAAGGCATAAGAGCTCAGTCTTTGGATATCTTGTTTCAGCTCCCCTTAATTGCCTACTCACATAGTAAATAGGGCTTTCTTCTCCACCATGGTTGTCTTGAGCGAGTAAGGCCCCAACCGCTGCATTTGTTGCAGCTAGATAAATCTTGAGAGGAAGTCCCGGAATGGGTGCTCTCATGGTGGGCAGCTTAGTAATTATTTGTTGCACTTGCTGATAGGCCTCTTGGCATTCCTTGCTCCATTCGTATGGCCTGCCCTTCTTGAATAAGGGAGCAAAAACACTTATAGTGGCAGCAAGACCTGGGATGAAGCGCCGAATATAGGATAATCTCCCCATGAAACTTTTCAACTCCTTTGGATTTCTTGGAGGCGCAAGGGAATTTATAGCTCTTGTCTTTTTTGGATCTACATCTATGCCACGCTGATGCACTTGGAACACCAAGAATTTTCCGGATGACACCCCGAATGCGCACTTTTTGGGGTTCATCTTTAACCCATACAGCCGACATCTTTCCAGCACCTTCCTCAGCACCTCTTGATGGCCTTCTCTAGTCTTTGATTTCACCACAAGATCATCCACATAGTCTTCCACCTCTTTTCCCATCATATCGTGAAACACCGTTGTCATGGCTATTTGGTAGGTGGCACCGGCATTTTTAAGACCGAAGGGCATGACCGTGGAATAAAAATTCCCATATGGTGTTTGGAAGGCTATCTTCTCAGCATCTTTGGGTGAAATTTTAATCTGATTGTAGCCGCTAAACCCGTCTCGAAGAGAGATTTCTACTAATGACAGGTTTATAATTAAGCTGCCATAACCACACAACACAAATTATCCAAACCCCTCTGTACGTCGAAGAAAGATTTCCACTAATGAAACCAACGCAACGACCTTGTTATTTTAAAGTCTGCATTGACTCCGAAGTAGTTTCCTCCTCAATCGAAGATCCTTTGGGCAAGCTCGGTTGAGGTCTCGATAGTCCGTGCATATTCTAATCACTCCGGTCGTCTTTTTCAAGGGAACGATATTTGCTAGCCATGTCGGGTGCTTGATTGGCCTGATGAATCCAGTAGCTAACAGCTTTTCAATTTCCACCTTGATTTGCTTTTCAATTTCAGGATGAAAATTCCTCCTTGGCTGCACAACAGGTTTCGTACCAAGCTCAATATTCAATGTATGGCTTACCAAGTTTGGATTTAAACCGGGCATCTCTTCGTAACTCCAAGCGAATACATCTCTAAATTCTCTTAACAAAGACACCAAGGCCTCCTTCTCTTCATTTGTTAAATGAATGTTGATGGAGATGGGCTTTGGGGCAGAGGGGTCGTCACTCAAATTGATTGCTTCCAGCTGCTCAACTACTGTTGTCGATCCGTCTTGCATGTGTCTAGGTGCTGTCATTGGAGAATAGGTTTAGAGAACGTGTCTAATGAGAGCAGGGCCTTAAGCTTATATAGGGCTAGGTCAAGTCGTCTCTACTCATCACCGAGGGCCGACTTGACTAATCTTCCAAGCCCACTTAATCGGTTCACGCAAAAAGGAAACAAAAATAGGACTCCTTAATAGGCCCTAAAACCTTTCCTTATTTCACAAGGTTTTGGGCCTCAAGGTACAACTTAATTTAAACCCTTATCAAACCTGATGTGACTTAGTATCTAGTGCACCGATCTAATTAGGAAAACATAACAAGATCTTCTTAAGGCAGCTGATATGTGATACCAGCGCATCTTCCATGTCAATCAAAGTCCAAGTTCCAAGTTGTTTTCTTGTTGATGATTTTTTTTAAGAAAATTGGAGGATAGTCATTCTTTCCAAGTTGTTTGCCCCACATGAAGGCAACTACATGATGGCACAACATAAAATTAAAAAGGCTTAATTAAAAATAACAGAGCACTGAGTTGTGGAGCAAAATGTTGAAATTGATAACAGTCAAGCCAGATGTAAACATACTTTGATGCCCTATTCATGTTATAAAAATCTTTTCTATTAATTCATATTGTGGAGCAAAATGTTGAAATCAAAGGTCAGAACCTTCACTTGTCTGCAATATGAACAGAACAACATATATCCTTAAATTTGAGTCCAGTTACTTTGAAAACAAGAAGAAAAAAAAAACAAGGAAGGAAAAGCAAACTGAAAATGCAAAATAAAAAGTACAATATTAATAATACATATTTAACCTCTAAGCCTTTTTTTTCATCCTGTTGAGGGTGACTGTTATCATCACATAGAGGAGCCTATCTTGTACATTGTCTATGAATCGAAAATACGCAAATCTCCATGTCTTGTTAATAACTAAAGAACCACAAACTCCCCAAAATCCTACTATGAACCCCAATGCTGCAAAGATATAAAACCATGGAAGTTGATGAAGCCCATTGTGCACGTCTTTGTTGTTCTTGTTATTTGCATCAATGCCCTTACTTGGTCCGCACTTATTTGGAAGTGGGGCACCACAAAGTTTTGGGTTCCCCTCAAACGCAGAAGCGTTGAAGCTTTGGAGCTGGGTGCCTGTTGGTATTGGTCCTTCAAGATTATTGTATGAGGCATTAAATTTTTTCAAGAAATTAAGGCTCGACAATGACGATGGGATTATTCCAGACAAGAGATTCGTGGAGAGGTCCAAAACCTCTAAATTTTTTAGGTTAGATATTTGGTTTGGAATGACGCCGGAGAAGTTGTTGGAGTCAAGAACCAACTCCTGGAGAAGCTGTAATTGGCCAATCTCAATAGGTATATCACCAACAATGCTATTCTTAGATAAGACTATCGTTGCTGGAAAAAAATACAATTTCTGCGTTAGAAAAGTTAGAGTTGTGGTTACGTTGTTGCTGCCATAGATAGGCAATTCAAATTCATATTGGTCTGGTTGAGATGCAATATTAGGTTCATAAATCAACCTTGGTAGTCTACAAAGTTGCTTTGGAAATTCACCTGAAATTCGGTTGTTTGACAAGTTTATATAAAACAGCCTAGGAAGAGTCCCCAACCAACTTGGAATTGGCCCTGTGATTTGATTAAAACATAGTTCCAAGATCTCTAGATTCTTGAGCTTTGTAACCATACAGGTATTTGACCAGTGAGGTCAGAATCAGCCAAATTCAATGCCCGAAGATTTTGGAATCCATCAAAATCAACCATGTCATCATCAGATGGCATTCCCTCACCTTTATAGGAATTAGCAAGCGAGAGTGTGTGAAGACTTTTGCAATTCATCAATATCTTCATTGCCCCTGTGAGGTTGGTGAATCGGCTGCAACCAAGCGAGAAGAAGGACAAGGATTTCAATGAAAGAATCTCAGCTTGTATTTGTCCCTCTAGATGATTTCTACCTAATGCAATGGCTTTTAGGGACCTACATGAGTAAAGGCTTACTGGAACCGTACCAGTGAAGTTATTGACCCTTAGGTCAAGTTTAGTAAGTTGACTCAGTCTTGAGAAATCAAGCATGGTGATATCTCCTTCCAAGTTGTTGTTTCCTAAATGCAGTTCTACAAGGTTTGTGCAATTCATCAAAGATGGGGGCAAAGCACCTTCTAAATTGTTGAAATCAAAGGTCACAAACTTCAACTTGGAGAGCTTCCCCAAATTGAGAGGAAGCTTGCCGCCAAAATGATTAAAGGAGAGGTCAAGGATGGCAAGGTTAGTGAGGTTGACAATTTTATCACTAATGGCTCCATGTAGTGAATTGAGAGGTAATGCAATTTCTTCAAGTTTAGTAGCATTATAGATATCTTCTGGAAATAACCCTGAGAGGTTATTATGACCGGCACGAAAAACTTGCAGTTGGGAACACTTCCCTAGCCCGGGAGTAAGGTTGCCACTGAATACATTGGAAGAAAAATCCAATAGCCTAAGGGAGGGAGAATAATGGAGACAAATAGAGGATGGGACATGCCCTGTGAAGGTATTGTTGCTAACATTGAAACTAGTCAAGTTGCTTGCTTGTTGGAAGAATGAAGATGGAATTGCACCAAAGAAGTGATTGCTGGACAAATCAATTGTCCGGATACTGCTGGATGGTAGAGAAAGTGGTAGCTCTCCAAAAAGACGGTTATAACTCAAATCAAGGATCTCAAGTCGATTAAAAAACAAGAAGAACTGAGTTTCAAGTGAATCATATTGTGAATTGTGGGAAAGGTTCAAGTGGGTGAGATGTGTGAGATTTCTAAGTGAAGAGGGAGAGATACCTCCTTTGAACCCTTCGGAAGGCAAGAGCAAACGGGTGACCCAACCATCTTGATCACAAGTGATGCCCTTCCAGTGACAGCAATCAAGGGATGTCCAATTTAAAGGAGGAGAAGATAGAGTGGAGGCAAAGGATAGGAGGGAGCTGCGTTCAGTTTGTTTGCAAGCATGAATATTTGTAGATATAATGTAAGAGAATAAGAGGAAGAGAAGGAAGCCATGAGCCATTAGATTATAAGGCTGCACTAGCATGTTGCTTTGTGTATGTGTCGTTGCTCACTGCAAAGTAGATATGTATATATAAGAGCAACCATGCTTGAAAACAATGCAAATTTAAAGTCCACAACTCCTTCAAAGTATTCAAAGTTGTTGTCATGACAGATGGTGATAATTTTACATGGAATTTGGAAAATATATGGTGTTATTTTTCTTGCCAGATAAATATGGCCTGAGAGTGACAGTGCCAGTCAAGCCTGATCCAACATTATACATTGACGTCCTATTCATTTCCAAGTTGTTTTCAAAAAATCTCTCGGATGTAGTTAAGACTTTGGGGAAGCAAAGACAAAGTGGGAAAAGCAAGTTTGACTTTGGGGAATGGTGTTAGGTTCCTTTTGTCGGGTGGCGGGGCTAGGTATTTGAAACTAAGGACTCAACATAAGTTGTCTGCTAGCTCATACAATAATCCAAAGTGCATTTTTTACCCAGCATCTACAATTGGTAAAAGGCAGCCCCATACAACCCTCTGAGTGACGAACACATAAGAATCCCAATATGACATAACTATACATTAAGACAAGATTTAATATCCCAAAATATTTAGACTAATACGGTAAAACAAATTTGTTTAAGCAAAATACAGATTTACTGAAACTATGGGGTTTGTTTCATTAAAAAAACCTGGATTTACATCTTTCATTAATGAAAATTTTGTGATGCTGTGAGTAATAGCTCTGGTTGTTCGATGTTCAAGAATTCTTGTTTAGGCGCAATTCATACAATCCATACAAAATGTTTTGAGCTAAGAGCATTCTTTGGAACCTTGTAGAGTAAATTTTGCGAGATAAGAAGAGTGTATTATCCTCCAGACAAACTAAATTCATTTCACCTCTCGAGATACCAGGTTAAACACAAAGTTTTACAAAGTGATCACCCAATTTCTTTGGAGCTGATGTTTCTCGGTCCACAAGCTACAGGTCATCATGGACAGTCTTGTTACTTCATTTTGACATCTATATATATCTTGACATATGTCACACACACAACTAACTAAGCACTTAGATTTTGTACTAACAAAGGAAATTTGAACATCCATCCAGGGTTTCGATTCACAGGTATGTCAGATAAGTTTGCTTTAAAAGTGCCATCTGATGCTAAATCAGATAACATCATAATAGTTTACTACTATTCTTTCTACATAAGTTTCATTTTCTTCCCCA